AAACCAATAGTTGGAGAGTACTGAAATAAGCATTGTGGAAAATTTCATTAAAATATTCCAAGCATCATTACGACCACTAATTATTCCGCAATCGAACTGTCGATGATAGGACCGGACTCGGCATGCTAAGGAGTACCTATATTGTGATTTTGAACAAAATCGCATATATCGAGTTTTGTCTCGACCCTGGAAAAAACGCGTAAGGGTCCCCCCTTATGCGTTTTTCCACCCAAATATGATTTTCTCTCAGACATGAAATTTGGTGGGATTAATTTCAGTAATTTAGTACATCCATTAGAACATAACAGCACCAACCAAATGCCTGAGAAACCAATAATTGGAGAGTACTGAAATAAGCATTGTGAAAAATTTCATTAAAATATTCCAAGCATCATTACGACCACTAATTATTCCGCAATCGAACTGTCGATGATAGGACCGGACTCGGCATGCTCAGGAGTACCTATACTGTGATTTTGAAAAAAATCGCATATATCGCGTTTTCTCTCGACCCTGGAAAAAACGCGTTTTTCAACCCAAATATGATTTTCTCTCAGACATGTACCTTGCTTCTGAAGTGATAAAATTTAAATTTATGATCTCATTTTTACTGATAATAATAGAGCAATTTTTCTTACCATTTTAGACATATCATGGGATTGCTCAGCAGAGGTAGAATATTCCTCTCCGTGCTCTGGTTGTTCCCGTTGTCGAGGAGTTTCTGCTCTTCAAGATACTAAAAGGAATAAAACCCCTGAACCTCCAAAAAGATGGTGGATGGCATATGTTCCTAAACCAAAACCAGCATTTGGATATATATCAGGTAAATATTTTATGAAATATGTATAAAAACAATTTTGTCACTGCTTGGTCTTTGGGAACATTGGTAATATGTGAAAGATTTTTTTCCACTAAGAAGAGTATATTGTAGTAAAAATCCCCTCTTAACAACAACGATGGTACTTTCAAAGGCAAACTGGCAATCCTTGCGAGAATTCTTCTACTTTCCCTGGGATTAATTTTGCTTTTCCACTCGGGATGCCTCAGTATGTGCTGACAGCATTGCTGGGGTTATACTGGGTAGTATGAGTGCATTTATCCCATCTTTTACCGTAATTTTCACCTTACAATCATGGTTTGATCTCTCTTGTTTTCTTGCATATAGGGAGAGAGATAGGGCATAACAAGTTATGAAACTATCTCCTCCTGTTACCCACTCCTCTTTCATTACTTTTAGGAATCATTGTAAGGTTATTCTTCGAAGGGCCAAGCGGAATTTTTTAAGAAGAAAGACCACTGACCTGACTAACTCTTCTTCTAGTAAATTCTTCTGGTCCTTAACCAAAAACATCTGTAATAACTTCTGCACTCCCTCTTTTCCTCCTCTTTTTCAACCCAATAACTCTGTAGTCAACTGTCCCACTTATAAAGCCAATCTCTTTAGCACCTTAGTCTCCTGTAACTCCACCTTAGACTATTCCAACTCTTTCCCTCCTACTCCTGCTCCTCCTACTGAACGTATGCACTTTCCTATAATCTACACCGTAGGGTTGCTGGTGTGTTATCCAATCTGGATATGAGTAAGGTGCATGGACCAAACGGAATACTCCCTCATGTTATGAGGGAGTGTGCTGAAATTCTGGCCCCCATTCTTGCTCGCCTCTTTTGCCTTTGCCTCAAAACCCAAATTTTTCCTTCTTCTTGGAAGCATGCCTAGGTTTAGCCCATCCCAAAGAAGGGCTAGGCCTTGCTAGGCCTCATATGCTCTCCTCATTTCTTCTATGTCATGGAAGCCACACATACACAACATTGCTAAAGCTGCTTCCCGAAAGCTGGGAATGCTGTACAAATGCCGTAACTACTTCACTACTGAGCAGTTGCTTCAAGTTTATAAAGGATTCATTCATCCTAATCTGGGGTGGCTCTTCTTCTGTCCAACTGTTAGATAGGATGGAATCAAAAGGCATTTTGTCTTCTTAACTTTCTTCCTTTAATCGATAATCTCTCTTCTCTTTTTCTTCGCCGCAATGTTGCTTCACTCTCTCTCTTTTATAGGTATTTTAACGAGCAATGTTTGGTGGATTTGGCATCCTGTGTACCACCGGCAAGGCTGTGGGCTCGTAACACTTGTCTTGCCCGCGGTGCCCACCGTTTCTCTGTGGCTGTCGGTCGCACTAGAATACCCTGTTTATAGTACATCCTTCTTTCCTCACACAGCCAAACTGTGGAATGCTCTGCCTTCTTCTGTGTTTCCATACTCTTACAATCTGTCTCACTTCAAAAAGCTGGTTTTCAGGCATCTTTGTGGTGTAGATAAATGCAGTACTGTATAGTCTTTTCTCCTATTTTTAATTTATTTTTCTCTAAACTTTTTTTGTCCCCCAGGCCTCATTGTGGGTCAATGAGCCTGTGCCCAGGTGGGCCATTCCCCGTAAAAAACAAAAATAAATAAATAGATATATAAATGAATAAATAAATAAATTTACTGTTTGTATACAATATATATATATATATATATATATATATATATATATATATATATATATATATATATATATATATATATATATATATATATATATATATATATATATATATATATATATATATATATATATATATATATATATATATATATATATATATATATATATAGTTTTACCCCGCTTAACGCGCTTTCACTTAACGCGTTTTATCATATACGCGGTGCCTTGCCAAAGCTGAACTTTCACTTAACGCGGATTTTTCCACAGCAACGCGGTGAGTGTCCGGCTCGGATGCTATTTTTAGATTTTGACCACGCGCCACCCGCCCGCCCGCCCTCCTGCCTGCCTGCCTGCCTCTCCCTCCTCCTCCCTCCGCTTGGGCAAGCGGCGCGGTAAGGTTGCGCAGTGTGTGTCTTTGTTGCGTTATCACTGACGTCATATGACGTCTCGGACTGTGATTGGCCATGCAGCCCTACCCCCCTCTGCTGCTAGCTGTAATTGGCTTAAAGTATTATGACGTGACTACCCCGGGGAGGGAGGGAGGGAGGAGAGACGACGCTTGACCTAGCCGCGGCAGTTTCATCCCTCAAGGCCACGCCGGGTTAACGCGCATCCATTGTTCCGTAAAATGGCTTCCGCCGGACCACCACCCCCAGAGAGAAACCTTTCCTTACCTGGACCCAGCGGCACTAAACCAAAGAAGACACGACGTTCATTAAGCTACGAGCTGAAGTACCAAATTGTTCAAGATTTGGAGAAAGGAAGACGCCAAGTTGATCTCGCGCGCCAGCATGGCGTCAACGAATCTACGATTCGTACAATAAAGAAGGATGCAGCCAAGATAAAGGAGCACATGAAGCTCACAAAGTCTGCAGGTGCTTCAGCTATCAGGTATTGCCAGAACAGGGTGCTGGCAAAAGTGGAAACTTTGCTGGTGAGTTATTTGGTGCGTCAGGCGCGACGCAACATGGCGGTGGACACGCGCTCAGTGCAGGAGTACGCACGTGAGCTATACGCAGCAGTGACACGTAAACTGGGAATTGCAGAGCCCAAACCCTTCAATGCTTCCCATGGTTGGCTGCATAGGTTTAAGAGGAGGAACAAGGTCACCAACATCAGCATTGTTGGTGAGGAAGCGAGTGCTGACCGTGCGGCGGCTAGAGATTTTCCTCCGTTTTTACGTGAGATTATGGAGGAAGGACAGTACAGTGACGACCAGGTGTTTAACATGGACGAATCTGGTCTTTTCTGGAAAAAGTTACCTTCCAAGACCTTCGTTGTCCAGTCTGCGAGCAAGGTAAGGGGCGGAAGATGCAGAAGGAACGCATCACCGTCCTGTTTACCACCAATGCCTCCGGTACCTGTAAACCAAAGTTATCGGTGATTCACAAAGCCCGCAAGCCGCACGCCTACAAGAATATGGACATGAACAAGCTTAATGTCCACTGGCTAACCGCACGTAAGGCGTGGATGTCCTCTTCTCTGTCCCTCTTCTGGTTTGACAACTTTTTTGTTCCTGACGTGCAGAAATTCTGCGAGCAACAGAATGTTCCATTCAACATTTTGTTGCTCCTTGACAACGCACCTGGACACTCGCCCCTACTAATGGATCGTCACCCCAACGTAAAAGTGGTCTTCCTTCCTCCCAACACCACGTCATTAATCCAGCCTATGGACCAGGAGTTAATCTGCAACGTTAAAGCTGCATACTCGGCAAAGAAATTCAAGCTCCTGAACGACTCTACCAACACCAAGGATGAGTTGCGTAAGCTGGGTGACACCGACAGCGAGAGTAAAAGCGACGAGGACAAGGAACAAGAGGCGGCGACTCAAGAACTTCTCGTCAAACAATTTTGGAAGAAGTTTAACGTCAAACAAGCTGTAGACTTCTTGGTGGAGGCATGGGATCTGCTGTCTATTGCTACGATTCGTCACGCATGGAGACATGTGTTGCATGGCATACCAGGTGAGAGGAGGAGTGAACCTGTGACTGGTCAGGTTCAGACTGTTGCAGTAGCAGTGGACCTTGCCAGAGAAGCTGCGCTCAATATTACAGCTGAAGGCTTCTCCGAGACCACCAACGAAGACATCATGGAGGTGATCAGAGATCCTGAAGTGACTGCCGACGAGATGTTGGAAGAAGAACCCGCCAGTGAAGAGGAGGAAGAAGGTGCGTCATTCTCCGAAGAACCTAGTTTAAGTCATAGTGATATTAAGTGTGTCATAGAGTTAACAGAAAAAATTAAGTCCATCGTTTCCCGCGACACTGACGATGAACGCCATGACGTCTTCCATAACCGACTGGTGCAGGCTATGGAGCCGTACATCAAGGTGTATCACGACAACATCAAAGCCAGCCGTCAGCAAAGCATAACCGAGTTCTTCGCCCGCAACCCACCACAGCCAGCCCAAGGCAGTGATAGTGATAGTGAAGGTGATTTTGAGGGATTTGTCAGGGAAGCCATGACAACTGTAAGTGACAGTGATATTGATTCACCTAGTAATGGTGATTCACCTAGTAATGGTGATTCACCTGAGGGGCAGTAATCTGCCCTCTGCCTCGGAACCAGCCTCCATCCCCGTATGCCGACCCATCTCTTCTACTACCGTGAGTGTTCCTTAAAACTTTTCGTTTTTTAACCTATTCTTTATTTTTCCTATGTTAACCTTTATCTTTCCTAACCTAACCTCTTCTATATTACTTGTTTTTCATGCCACCATAAAGTTAAGATAGAATTTTTACTACAACATAGTTATTTGTCGTCAAAAAGTGGAGTTTGGGGGTCAGGCTGGGTTCTATTGGAATTAATCCCATATGTTCTGTTATTCACTTAACGCGGTTTTCACTTAACGCGGGACCCTCTGGGTTCAATTGACCGCGTTAAGTGGGGTACAACTGTGTATTTTATCAAGATTTATCTTAAGTTTTCATTGTGGATTTACATGATATATATATATATATATATATATATATATATATATATATATATATATATATATATATATATATATGCGCTGATAACCACAAGGAAAGAAGAAAACACGAAGTTCCCAAGCGCTTTCGTGTAATTCACATCCTCAGGGGTGAGTATAGACTAAGGAGAAATACATGAGGCATATATATATACAGTAGTACCCCGATTTACGCGGTCAATTGAACCCACAGGGTACCGCGGAAAGTGAAAACCGCGTAAAGTGAACAACAGAACATATGGGATTAATTCCAATAGAGACTGGCCCGACCCCCAAACTCTCAAACTCCACTTTTTCCGACACAATACCTATGTTGTAGTAAAAATAACATCTAAATTTTATGATGGTATGCTCACACAATTAATATTTAAGAGAAATACAGTCGCCAGGTTAATGTCCATTCAAATAATGGACTCAAATCCCCCCCCCCCTTCTTCCCAGTTCACTAGCTCCTACCTCTCTCAGAAATGTTTGGGTGAAACCACTAGATTTTAACGTTTAGTAATAAATAATACCTCAGACTAAAGTTAGGATAATATAATTGACATTTCTGGATTCCTTGCAGGTCAGGGAATATTTTGAATGTAAACTTCATATATTTTGCACAAAAGATAAAATATTTCCTTTGTGTAAACCAAATTATTACATTAGATCTAAAATTTGTATGTCTAATGCAAAATTCATGATGTTTATATTCAAAATGATCATCATATTGTAAGAATTCCAGCAATGTAGATTATATTCTGGCAGAGTAATTTGTATGAATTTTATGAGCTAAAACAAATATCTTCAGGTAATAAAAAAAAATTATTCTTCAGGACACTATCTGTCAATCAAAGTACTACCCCACCTTGCCTCCCCCCCCTCCTCACACTCACGCCAGCTGGGTCGGTCGGTCCCAACCCTCCCCCCCACCCCCCACCCCCCACCTTCCCTCACTACCAGAGAAATGTTTGGGTGAAAAAACTAGATTTTAACCTTTAGTAATAAATAATACCTAAGACTAAAGTTAGGATAATATAATTGACATTTCTGGATTCCTTGTAGGTCAGGTAATATTTTGAATGTAAACTTCATATATTTTGCACAAAAGATAAAATATTTGCTTTGTGTAAACCAAATTATTACATTAGATCTAAAATTTGTATGTCTAATGCAAAATCCATGATGTTTATATTCAAAATGATCATCATATTGTAAGAATTCCAGCAATGTAAATTATATTCTGGCCGGGTAATTTGTATGAATTTTATGAGCTAAATAAAAAATTATACTTCACCCTGTATATGAGTAGATGCACAGCGTAAAATGAAATTCCGGTAGGTTCTGGCTAGGTATCTAAATGTAGAATCTAGAATCGCGTAAAGTGAAACCGTGTAAATCGGGGTATTACTGTTCTTGCCTGTCTGGCTAGTGATGATTCTTGTCGTTTGAAGAAATCAGCAGTTTCTGGCCTCAGTGGGGTGTTTCTGTTGTAAGTGTCTTTGTGGTTTTGATGGTTTCAAACATTCATTGGAGAGTATCTCTTGACAGAGAACACACTTTGGGTACTCAACTCAATTTTAATTCAAGTACAATGTGGCAAAACATGACATAGCCAGCGGCTTTCAAATCCTGGCTGTAAAAGGCGGACCCAACGTGCCTAGCTTGTGGCTTGTTGGTGCCTACGGGTAACCATTAATGAGTGGGAAAAAAATGGGTAGAGAGAGAGTCGGTGATGGAAAAAATAATGATTTGTTTATGTATTTATTTTTTGGCTGAAAATACTGCTTTCTTTCATCTTGTTGCTGACCCCAGTTTGGGAACCTCTGCCTTATTAATTTTACTGTGTAATGTAGTTTTAGGCAAGCTCATCTATAATCTTTGTGTTCTTTACTATTTAATAACATGTTGTGGTCTCTCTCTCACATTATAATATGACATATGCTGCATCTCTTTAGCTGCTCTATAACTTTAAGTAAATTACTGCATTTTGCTCTTTGAATCATTTACAAGAACATTATGAAAATAATTGGATGTCGATGGTACAGTTTTATTAACACTGGACAAATAACAGACTGATCACCCAAAGTGTTACTAAACTAGCAGGTGGTGTAAATGATAAATTAAGAGAAAAACAATTCCTGTATTTAGAAAATCACAGACAGTCATTCATACTTTTTTAGATATCCATTATACTCCATAATTGTCAGATTTGTATTTACTTACAGAATATCTATACTGTACAGAAATTGTCAAGCATTATTTGCTTCATGCATTGTACAGTACATGCTCATTACTGTACTGCATTATCAAAGGGAAAAATTAAAATACAATAGAAAATTTTAGCTCATGTATTTGATATTAGCTGATGCTTCCATGGCTGAAGGAATCAGCCAGATCAGTGCTTGGGAATGACTGTGTCTGGGTGATAAACTTTTTTAATTTCAGAAAATAGCATTTGTAATTCAGCTTTGTGTATATAATAGAAGCTATCTTCAAAATTTATTCTTTGATGAGAAATTTAATGAGACAAGGTATCCTGAGTTTCTTTTTGTCCAATGGCACATAATCTTTAAATATTTTTTTACAGAGGTTAAAGTTGACTACAGGAGCATAATTAATGAAGAGTGTGGAGTAAAACACAAAACAAACATCAACAATATCTGTGACCTCGTTATCACTACAAGAAACACTAAACAATCCTCAGATATCCCCAGCTATGCTCTGCATCTAAAAACAGGTAAACACTTAATTCTTTGGTTAAATGCAAATTATATAATATTCAAAAGAATATTTAGTGTCAGAAAAGGTAAGAAACTTGGTAAATAAATGGTCCCATGTGAAGTGCTTGTGAAAAGTGTGAGAGGATTGGCCAGTTGTTGCCGTGTCACTGTCTTTGGTTGAATTTTGCAATATAATGACTATATTATTGCTCTTTGCCCTTTCATATTGTTTCTTTAGTTGTTTTTAATGCTAAATCTCAGGTCCAGCCAATGTTGGAACATTTGACTTTATAAAAGAAGGTTGGAGCAGAGAATGGAATAAATTGAAAAGTTATGCATCAGAAACTACTGTTGGGGAAGTAACATTAAGACCGACAGGAGATGTTAAAACAGCCACGGTAAGACGTTCTTCTCTGTGCATGTTGTGAAAGAATAGGATATGATTAATTTTATATTTTTAGGGGAAGGAGTTGTGCAGATGTGAATGACATATTGAAATTATGTGTTGGATACCAAAGGGAGGAGATGTATGAAAAGAGAGAACTTCTTATCATGTGTCTTAGGGTAGAATGAGATTGCCATTGACTTAAGTTATTAGACAGAAATTAGAAGTTAAAAAGTAAGAGATTAGAAGATTTGCTGGGAAAATTATGATAGTGTAGGTTTATTTTGTAGAGACAAGAAGTGCAAATATAAAATAAAAAGGCATGAAATTTTTTAGATACGTAAATGAACAAAATCGCATATATCGAGTTTTGTCTCGACCCTGGAAAAAACGCGTAAGGGTCCCCCCTTATGCGTTTTTCCACCCAAATATGATTTTCTCTTAAACATGAAATTTGGTGGGATTAATTTCAGTAATTAAGTACATCCAGAAGAACATAACAACACCAACCAAATACCTGAGAAACCAATAATTAGCGAGTACTGAAATAAGCATCGAGAAAAATTTCATTAAAATAATCCAAGCATCATTACGACACTATTTATTCTGCAATCGAACTGTCGATCATAGAACCGGACTCGGCATACTCAAGAGTACCTATAGTGTGATTTTGAACAAAATCGCATATATCGAGTTTTGTCTCGACCCTGGAAAAAACGCGTAAGGGTCCCCCCTTATGCGTTTTTCCACCCAAATATGATTATCACTCAGACATGAAATTTGGTGGGATTAATTTCAGTAATTAAGTACATCCATTAGAACGTAACAGCACCAACCAAATGCCTGAGAAACCAATAGTTGGAGAGTACTGAAATAAGCATTGTGAAAATTTTCATTAAAATATTCCAAGCATCATTACGACCACTAATTATTCCGCAATGGAACTGTCGATGATAGGACCGGACTCGGCATGCTCAGGAGTACCTATACTGTGATTTTGAACAAAATCGCATATATCGAGTTTTGTCTCGACCCTGGAAAAAACGCGTAAGGGTCCCCCCTTATGCGTTTTTCCACCCAAATATGATTATCACTCAGACATGAAATTTGGTGGGATTAATTTCAGTAATTAAGTACATCCATTAGAACGTAACAGCACCAACCAAATGCCTGAGAAACCAATAGTTGGAGAGTACTGAAATAAGCATTGTGAAAAATTTCATTAAAATATTCCAAGCATCATTATGACCACAAATTATTCCGCAATGGAACTGTCGATGATAGGACCGGACTCGGCATGCTCAGGAGTAACTATACTGTGATTTTAAACAAAATCGCATATATCGCGCTGCTCGACCCTGGAAAAAACGCTAGTAAGGGTCCCTCTGGCGTTTTTCCACCCAAATATGATTTTCTCTCAGACATGAAATTTGGTGGGATTAATTTAAGTAATTAAGTACATCCATTAGAACGTAACAGCACCAACCAAATGCCTGAGAAACCAATAGTTGGAGAGTACTGAAATAAGCATTGTGAAAAATTTCATTCTACGTGTTTAAAAGCATTATGACCCACCAAATTATTCATGGCAGTGGAGACTATAGATGTTAGGACGGACTGGCATGCTCAGGAGAGCCTGCTGTGATTTTGAACAAAATCGCGATATATCGCTGCCGATTCCTGGAAACGCCAGTAAGGGTCCCCCCTTATGCGTTTTTCCACCCAAATATGATTTTCTCACAGACATGAAATTTGGTGGGATTAATTTCAGTAATTAAGTACATCCATTAGAACATAAGAGCACCAACCAAATGCCTGAGAAACCAATAGTTGGAGAGTACTGAAATAAGCATTGTGAAAAATTTCATTAAAATATTCCAAGCATCATTACGACCACAAATTATTCCGCAATGGAACTGTCGATGATAGGACCGGACTCGGCATGCTCTGGAGTACCTATACTGTGATTTTGAACAAAATCGCATATATCTAGTTTTGTCTCGACCCTGGAAAAAACGCGTAAGGGTCCCCCCTTATGCGTTTTTCCACCCAAATATGATTTTCTCTCAGACATGAAATTTGGTGGGATTAATTTCAGTAATTAAGTATATCCATTAGAACATAACAGCACCAACCAAATGCCTGAGAAACCAATAGTTGGAGAGTACTGAAATAAGCATTGTGAAAAATTTCATTAAAATATTCCAAGCATCATTACGACCACTAATTATTCCGCAATCAAACTGTCGATGATTGGACCAGACTCGGCATGCTCAGGAGTACCTATACTGTGATTTTGAACAAAATCGCATATATCAAGTTTTATTAATTCCTGAAAAACGCTAAGGGTCCTTATAGCGCTTTTTTCCACCCAAATATGATTTTCTCAGACATGAAATTTGTGGGATTAATTTCAGTAATTAAGTACATCCATTAGAACATAACAGTAATACTCAACCAAATGCTGAGAAACCAATAGTTGAGTACTGGAAATAAGCATTGTGAAAATTTCATTAAAATATTCCAAGCATCATTACTGCACTACTAATTATTCCGCAATCGAACTGTCGAAGTGATAGGACCGACTCTGCACTTTCTAGAGTACCTATATCAGATTTTGAACAAAATCGATATATCGCTTTTGTTCGACCTTGAAAAACGCGTAAGGGTCCCCCCTTATGCGTTTTTCCACCCAAATATGATTATCACTCAGACATGAAATTTGGTGGGATTAATTTCAGTAATTAAGTATATCCATTAGAACATAACAGCACCAACCAAATGCCTGAGAAACCAATTGTTGGAGAGTACTGAAATAAGCATTGTGAAAAATTTCATTAAAATATTCCAAGCATCATTATGACCACTAATTATTCCGCAATCGAACTGTCGATGATAGGACCGGACTCAGCATGCTCAGGAGTACCTATACTGTGATTTTGAACAAAATCGCATATATCGCGTTTTCTCTCGACCCTGGAAAAAACGCGTAAGGGTCCCCCCTTATGCGTTTTTCCACCCAAATATGATTTTCTCTCAGACATGAAATTTGGTGGGATTAATTTCAGTAATTAAGTACATCCATTGGAACATAACAGCACCAACCAAATACCTGAGAAACCAATAGTTGGAGAGTACTGAAATAAGCATTGTGAAAATTTCATTAAAATATTCCAAGCATCACATTTAATTTCATCAATTATTCAAGAATCGAACTGGTTTGCTATAGACCGACTCGCA